AGGACCTACATCCAAGATTACTCTATTCAGCAAAGCTATCACTTAGAATAGGAGCCCTAACCCCTGCCTGGACAGGCTTTTTTTGCTTTTCTGGGTACATTACATCTAGGATGGTCCTCATTTACTACACGCAGGTTCACTGTAGGTGATTACCTTTTACATATAACAAAGGAAAGAATGTTGGTAATGACTTCAAAGAGAAGCATGTTACAGATCAAGGGGAAAAGTGGTTGAACTGGTTACACTCCATACTTGGGAGGTTTAGCTCAGATTTTAGGAAGTTACAGTAAGCTTTTGCTGCCTCAATTCAGGGTGAGGGAGTTTTAGCAAAAGCAAGTCTCATAGCACCCTAGGTAGAATGCAGGCCTGATTTCCCACTGGAGAACCTATCTGTGGGTGTGGTTCCTATGTGCTGGGTGGGCCTCACTTCCCACTGGCTTTTCCTAGTGGGAGCTGGGCTGCATTCCCACGCTACACGAAACAGTTCCCTATGCAAGTGTGCTCGTTCTCTCCCAAAGAAGTATTGCTTATCAAAGCCCTTGCTTTTTTCCTTCTCAATTTCCCCAAGTAATAGTAATTAAAAACATGGTTAAAATTGGCAATAACTAGATGATGGTAGACACATGCGTAGATTTTTTTTTTATAAAGCCTTAAAAGTATATGCCAAATTATATGTAGTTTTTGTACTTTAAAAAGAGAATGATAGACACTTACTTTCCATTGTATGATTCAAGATTGCAGCACTGAAATATCTATAAGTAGCATATGATTTATGAGATTATTTTTCATATGCAGATTTTAAAAATAATTTTTATTATAAGACCACACCTTGAAAAGAGCATAGAAAACAGAGAAAACATTAAATTGATATGTAAATGAATGATTACATATTTTAGTGACTATTATTTTAAATAAATTTTAGAATTAATTAGCATATCTTTCTTTTTTTAATATTTTTATTGATTACGCTATTACAGTTTTCCCAATTTTCCCTCTATCTCCCCTGCATCCTGTCCCCCAACCTTCCAGCAACACCCCTCCTTAGTTCACATCTATGGGTTGTACATATAAGTTCTTTGAGTCCTCTGTTTCCCATACCAATTTTTATCTCTCCCAGTCTACCTTATGCCTACTAACCATGCTGCTTCTTCCCTGCACCTTTCCTCCCCTATTCCTCCATTCCCCCTCCCCACTGAAATCCCTCCAGGTGATGTCCATTTCTCTGATTCTGTTCGTGTTCTTCTTGTTTGCTTAGTTTTTGTTTTCATTGTTTTTCTTTTTTAGGTTCATTTGTTGACAGTTGTGAGTTTGTTGTCAATTTACTGTTCATATTTCTTATTTTCTTTTTCTTAGATAAGTTCCTTTAACATTTTATGTAATAATAGCTTGGTGATGATGAACTCCTTTAACTTGACCTTATCTGGGAAGCACTTTATCTGCCCTTCCATTCTAAGTGAAAGCTTTGCTAGATAGAGTAATCTTGGATGTAGGTCCTTGCCTTTTGTGACTTCAAATACTTCTTTCCAGTCCCTTCTTGCCTGTAAGGTTTCTTTTGAGAAATCAACTAGTAGTCTAATGGGAACTCCTTTGTAGGTAACTCTCTCCTTTCCTCTTGCTGCTTTTACGATTCTCTCTTTATATTTAATCTTGAGTAATTTAATGATGATGTGCCTTGGTGTGTTCTTCTTTGGGTCCAACTTCTTTGAGACTCTGTCAGCTTCCTGGACTTCCTGGAAGTCTATTTCCTTTGCCAGATTGGGGAATTTTTCCTTCATTATTTGTTCAAATAAGGTTTCAATTTCTTGGTCTTCCTCTTCTCCTTCTGGCACCCCTATAATTCAGATAGTGGAACATTTCAGGTTGTCCTAAAGGTTTGTAAGAGTCTTCACTTTTTCAAATTCTTGTTTCTTCATTTTGTTTTGGATGGATGTTTATTTTTCCTTTTGTTTCAGATTGTTGCTTTGAGTCCTGGTTTCCTTCCTGTCACTGTTGGTTCCCTGAATTTTCTGCTTTATATCACTTTGGGTATCCTTCATTTGTTTTTTCATTTTTCTACCAAGCTCAATCAGACCTTTGAGCATTTTGATTACCAGGGCTTTAAATTCTTTATCAGATATGTTGGTGATCTCCTCCTCGCTTAGCTCTCTTTTTGAGGCTTTACTCTGTTCTTTCACTTAGGCTATATTTATTTTTCTTGTCTCAGCTGAACTCTTGTGGATGGCTGGTGGGGCCTCAGGTATTCACCAGGGCCGGGCAACTCTCTGGGCTGTGCTGCCTTTGGGGGAGGGGCCAGAGAGGGAGTAGTCCCGCTAGGCTGCTTGTCTCTAGCGCACCTTTCAACAGACTCTCTTGTGAGACTGGGAGCTTCTCCAACCGTGTAGCCCACGGCCACCTTTTAAGTCCCCTTAAGTCAGCCCCTCCTGCACAGTCTGCTGAGCTTGACAGCCAGCTCCGCCTCCAATGTCCATAGTGTCAGGGAGGTTTTTCTGAGGTGACCTTCGTGGTCAGCCACCTTACCTGTCTGGTTGTTCCGATTGACTTTTTCTTTAATTCCTTTGTTGTCGGAGTTCCATGCAGTTTGATTTTCTGGGGCTTTTGGTTGTTTATTGATTTCAAACTAGTTATCCTTTCTTGGTTGTGCAAGGAAGAGTCTCTACCTGTGTCTCCATAGTGGTTGGAACTCTAGCATATCTTTCTATGTTCAGATTGAGTGAGGTGAGAAAAAGGAGGTAGATTTATTTTTTCTGCTCCTTTATTTATTTTTCAATCTTCAATAAGCTAGATAGGGATAAATATCCTTACTTTCTATATTTTGAAACTTACGTAGTGTTGTCAAGTGAAGGTTAAGATTTGTATGCTAAAATTGATTATATATGGAGAGACTTTTTCTGTTTTCTGGCAGAGGAGGAGAAAACCTAAAGAGACTTACATGTTGATTACTGGTAAAAGACTCACATAATTGTATACCATGACTTAAGATCCCCCCCCACACACACACAGTTCAGCAATGGTAGATGCTTTCTGTGACTAAATAGAGTTGAGATTTTCTCTGTTCACATTTACTGAAATAGTGATTTGTAGAGAAATAGTATATAACCAATATATTAGTTGAACTATATTTTCATAAAATGTAGTATTACTTTGTATAACTGGACTATATTTCCTAATTTCTAGATGACGTTTAAGAATTACCTTTCATGTAAAAATCACTTAAGATTTTTATGAGGAGGCTTAACTTTTGTCTGCTTTTAACCTCTAGTGTCATTTTAATTTCATGTACTTTTTTTCACCTGAATTGCAAGTACCCAGTAAATCGTTGCAAAAATTGCTACCATGATGAAAGAATGCCTTTACCAGTTTTTTTTGTACTGTAAACTTAAGGGCTTTAAATGAAGTATGTATTTTTAAACTGTTGATTATTTTAACTATCTTGTGTTTTTCCCTCAAAATAAAATATAAAATGGAACATTTACTTTTGTCTGTTTAGTTGTAGAAGTAATTTTATTTTAGTTGCAGAAGTAAATTTATTTTTGTTACAATTCAAACAAATGTTTGAATGTAAGAATTTTAAAAATTAATACCTATTTAAATTACAGAATTTTAGAGAAAGTATAATTGCTTCTTTCAGAAAACTTTTTGTTTAACACTTTACCACCACTGATTTTTTTTGTGTTAAGAGCATAATGCTAGGAAGCAGTTTCTTAAAGACACATCTTTGGATATAGAGAGTAATGTGTTTTATCTGTGTAGCCTTCCCAACTGATTTGATACAGTGGGGGCATGGGTAGTGAGAGTAAATTTCCAGTCTTATCTTCTCCGACCCCTCTGTGTGTCATGTAAGGCATTGTCCTCCATAGAAATCTTTCTTTTTGCCTTCAATCAGTGTATTTTCAACTTCTCTATTTCTTGGACTAAATAAATACCATGAACACTTCTCTTATTTCCCATGAGCTTTATTTATTATAGATCTCCCCCAGTTTCTGCTGGGTATTTTTTCTGTCCATATTCATTCCCTTGGTGAACTCATCCACACTCTTAGTTTGAATTGTACTTTTTTTATATGACTGTTTTACAAATCTTGGACTATTCTAAATGGCAACTTCTACCTGTTGTTGGGAAACATCTCCTTCTGAGTAGCCTATAGTTACACTGAACTCCCTTACTATCCCAAATAAAGGTTTCTTTATTTGCATCCCTGGTGAGTGAGAACCCAGGAAATACTTGAACCTTAACTTTCCTTGGGTTTATAGTGTATAGTTTCTTCCCAATTGTATTTTCTTTCTTTTTTAAAAAAGATTTTTTATGTGTTTATTTTTTAGAGAGATAGGATGGGAGAGAGAAAGAAAGGGAGAGAGAAACATCAATGTGTGGTTGCCTCTCATGCGCTCCCTACTGAGAGAACCTGGACCGCAATCCAGGCATGTACCCTGGCTGGGAATCGAACCAGCAGTTGTTCAGTTCGCAGGCTATCACTCAATCCAGAGTCACACCAGCTAGGGCTATATTTTCAAGTTTTAATAGTTTTGTCGCTATTCATAAGGATTGCCAGGAAGCAGTTTTTCCTATTAATTGATAATAAGTAGATCACATTCTGGCCATAAAGTGAGCTGCTAATCTAATAATGGAAGAAAAGGTACAAACAATACCTGTCTTCTGTAGTATGTTTAAGATACTGTAATTCTCTTCTTGTAAATAGTTGAAAACAAATAAAACTCAAATGTCCTATCATTTATTTACTGATATATTATGTTAACACTGGGTGTTGCTGATTATAAACAATACATAATCTATCATACTATAATAATGACCTATAAATAAACTTCAAGCATTTAATTAGTTTATTTGTATTGTGCTAATTGTACTTATCCTGGCAACTTTATATTAGTTTAAGTGTGACTTATGACATACAGAAAGACAAATTCTAAACAAATATTTTAGTTCATGAAATTACCTACTCAAGTATGATTCAGCTGAATTCTATTTCTGTTTTCCTATTGCAGCTTTCTCAACAGTGATGTCGCAAGACTGACCACATTGATCACAGTAAGAACAAAATGATAATTAAGTTTTTAAGGATGTTTTGTTTTCTCTGAAAATGATAATTGAGTTAGAAAATATTTCTAATTTTAAAATACTATTTTTGCAATAGCTAATTGACCATTATATTTTCAATGAATCACATCTCACACTTTTTGTTACTAAGTACTTTAAAAATATTGCTTTAAATACATTTAAAATGAAAAATTTAATTTATAACTGAAATTTTATTAACTTATTTTAGTGTGAATTATAATTGGAACATCACCTTTTTTTAGTTTTTGTTTTTACTAAACATTTACAATGCTTCCACATTAGAAAAATTATAAAAATAAGGTTATTTGATACTGTAATCACTTTTTAAGGCTAGACTGAAAACAGTCTTGAAAGGATTCTTTGGTTTCTCACTTAAAATTTTTATTGCCCAGGATGGGCAGCTTAGTTGGTTGGAGCAATTGTCCTGATACACCAAGGTTGTAGGTTTGATCCCTGGTCAGGGCACATACAAGAAACAACCAATCAATGCATGGATACGTAGAACAACATATTGATGTTTGTCTGTTACTCTCTCTCTCCCTTAAAATCAATAATAAAAAAATTAAAACTTTTATTGATATTTAAATGATTTATAAAGTCTTCCAAATGTGGAGAGTTGTTGAAAAAATAACTGATACTTTTACTTTTTAATTTTAAAGTGTTAAGTTCTACTGTGTATAAGGAAATGTGTTAATGAAAATCTTTAATGCCTTGATCTTCCATATTATAAAATTCTAACCAGTAAATTCTCAATTATAATAATGATATTTTATAGCATTTTTGAAAAATACTTTTAAATAATAGGTAAAGTTTTTGAGTAAATTATTTACTCAAATCTGCTTTAATCCTGTTTTAATTGTTTATTAAGTACAGAAGCAGTAATTATCAGAAATGTAAATTTATATATAGACAATCTTTGTATTTATGTTTTAATATTTTTTGGAAAAACAGTTTGTTAAGTCTAACATCTTTTAAAAGCCAGAGAGAAATTTTATCGTATTTTTTAAGGCTTTTTTTTGATAATCAGAGGGTGTGTAGAGTGACAACGGGGGAATGAAAGATTTCATGGCAGGCCAGAATGGAATGTGGAAATGTAACCAGAATGCTTCAGGAAACAAAACAGGGCACAATGACAGAAAATGTAGTTTTACACATTATGGCAGCATCAGAGTACTGGCTTCCTTAGTGGAAGAGTCACTAGAGAAGAATGGTAGGGAAAATGGGTATGGAAAAGTGCTAAAGACACTAGCTCCTACCTTTGGGTCAGTGCCTGAAGCCGCAGTACCTATGCAGTGTTTTGTTTAGATTAGATGGAAGTAAAACTGGCATAAATTTAAACACATTTTCCAATTTTCCAACTCTATTATGGTATATTTTTGTATGATGTTGCCATAGCATGGCGTCACTTGTCTTGCTAACTTCTTCAGTGTCTTCTTATTTTCCATTTAAATTGAATTACCTATTCATGGTCATTCAAAGGTAGCCATGTCCTGTCTACATAACTTCATTTCCCTCTACTTTCTAACACATAGACTGTTTTTTTTAGACATACCACTTCTATAGCCAACATATACTGATGCTTTTGTCTGTATATCTTTTTACATACAGTACATCATTTCATTTTCTTGAAGTAGTTAACTCTCTTTATTCAATACCAATTCATTCTTCAAGTGGTCTTGTAGCCTTTTATGATGACTGATTCCTTCACTGAGCTCCTTTTCCTCTTATCATTCAATCTTTATGTTCTGCCACAGACCTCTTTTTAAAACTTAGAACTTATATTTCCAGCTCTGTATGTGACATTGGTACCTGACTGTGCTATGCCACAGATACTAAATTCAGTATGTCTAAACTTGAACTCATTTTCTTCCAATTTCCTAAAACCTTACTCTCTTTACATGTTTTCTATACTGGTTAGTGATATGAACATCTACTTGCTACTAAAGCTAAAAATATTAGTTATCTTCAACTACTTCTTCAAAAACTCTCATCTATTCTGACATCAAATCCTACTGATTCTCTACATGCACTGTAATAATAAGAACTAATGTTTGTGGAGTGCTTGCTTTGTGCCAGGTACTAATTTAAGCATTTTACCAATTGTAACTTACTTAATTTTTCTAACAACTTTATTTATCTTTCCTGTTTTATGTAAGAAAGACATGTATTTTGCTACACACTAGTACCATGAATGTCTCCATCCATATTTTAAAAAAAAAGAAAGGAAGGAAGAACAAGCCTTTGGATATGAATGAGCCTAATTTATAAGAACTATAGTAGGGACAGAGAGACATATTAAATGATAACAAGAGGATAAAATAAGGAAAGTCCAGACTGGGAAGTTCTGTAAGGCAAAAGACCTGTTTTCTTCAGTAGATTGACATAGGAGTAGTTAGAAATTAAAAAGACTTGAGAGACATGTAAGCCAATTGTAATATATGGTTTACAGTTAAAAGAAACAATTTAAAAATATTATATGACACAGATGTACATATAATGACCAGATATTTAATCCTAAATAATTTTGTTTGAAATTGTCCCAGGTAGTGCTGGGCTGATTGTTGATGTAAAAAACATAAATCTGTGCCATAGAAACGTAAGTGTCTTTGTCAAAGGCTGAGCATTGAGAAAAAAAGTACATTCTCCAATTACTGTATTTTGCTTGGCACCTCTGATAAAAGAGGATTTGCTAAAGGTGGTGACAGAAATTTAACTCAGCATCATTATTAGTCATAAAATATGCTTTGTGACTTTCCTAATTCATAATTCTACCAAAAATTACTATTGTGTCATATTTTCTTAAGATTTAGTATTCGTTTCATAGAAATATGGGAAGTTCAAGGGGAGAAACTCTATAAAGATGATGATGATGATAGTCAACATTCAGGTACTGGGCACTAGTCATGAGTTTATTGTTTTAACTTATTTCATCATCCTAACTTCTTGAGGGAGGTATTATTATCCTCATTTTACAGTTGGCAAAACTGAGCTATAGAGAGGTAAAGCAGTTTGGCCCGGTTCACATGGTTATTAATCAGTGAAGTTCAGGGTTCAAACCCAGGCCTTTTGACATAGGGCTTGACTATCTGCTGTATGGCTTCTCTTTATGTCATCCATGGTGCTAGGTGTTATTAATATTTATCTCATTTCATTTATCGGGAAATGTCTTAATTACTTCTTCATTTTAAAACTATAGTTTTGACAGATATAAAATCCTTGTCGACAGTTGTTTTTATTTTACCACTTTTAATATGTAAACCCACTTGCCTTCTGACCTCCATGCTTTCTAAGGAGAAATTGGCTACTAATTTCATTTTGTACATGACAAGCTGTTTATCTCTTGCTGCTTCCAAGTTTCTATCTTTGTCTTTCAGCACTTTGACTATAATGTGTCTTAATATGATTCTCTTTTGAGTTTATCCTGTTTGGAGTACATTGATTTTGTTGGATGAACACATTCATGGTTTTCCCCAAATTTGGGAAGTGTGTAGTCATTATTTCTTCAAAGATCACTTCTGTCCCCTTCTTTCTTCTTTTGAGATAGCCATAAAGCATATGTATAGTACTCCTGAGTGTATCCCATGGATCCCATAGGCTCTGTTCACTTTATTCTTTTTTCTTTGTGCTCTTCAGACCAGATAATTTCAATTGACCTGTCTTCAGGTTTGCTGGTTCTTTTTAATACCCACTCAAGTTTGTTGCTGAACCCCTGTAGTGACTTTTTTTTTACTTCACTTTCTGTACTTTGTAGGTCAAATTTCCATTTAGTTCCTTTTTTAATTAATATCTTTTTATTGATATTTTATTTTGTTTTTATATTGCTGGTTTCCTTTTGTTCTTTGTCCGTGGTTTCCTTTACTTCTTTGAGCATATTTAAGACAAGGAATTTGTTGCCAGTAGATCTGGCTTAACAAGAAATGCTAAAGGAAGTTCTTTAGGCTGAAATGAAAGGGTGCTAATTGGTAACTAGAAGCCATAAGAAGAAATAAAGAACTCCAATAAAGGTAACTACATAGGTAGTTAGGTAAGGATATAATACTTTGAAGGAAAGAATAGAAGGCCAGTCAATGTAGCTAGAGGACAGAGAGAAAGAGTATGGTTTGAGATCAACAATCAGTAGATATAGGACACAATAAAGTATAATAAGAATTTTTTTACTTTAAGAATAATGAGAAATGTTTGAAGTTCAAATTGAAACTTAAACTGTGAATGACCCAATTTTAATTGAGGCTTACAGAGGTTAAGTAACTTGCTTAAGGTGGTGCAATGATTAAAAGATAGAATGATGGCTATAATCCAGGAACATCTTGATTTAACATCATTACTACCCTATTTCTTATGAATTAAGAAATGTTTGCCTGGCTGGTGTGTCTCAGTGGATTGCGTGCTGGCCTGTGAACCAAAAGGTTGCCAGTTCGATTCCCAGTCAGGGCACATGCCTGGGTTGCAGTCCAGGTCCCCACTTGGTGTCGTGCAAGAGGCAACCATCTCTTGCACATCGATGTTTCTCTCCTTCTCTTTGTCCCCCCATTCTCCTCTAAAAATAAATAAGTAAAATCTTAAAAATAAGAAACGTTTAAGAAATTATAACCCTGAAATTTTTGTGACTTGAAATTGTTCATTGCTTTATTATTTCAACAGATTATAACTAAATGTCTACTGTGTTTGAGGGATGCGACTTAATCCATTTTTTTAAAAAAAGAATTTATTTATTTTTAGAGGGAGGAGAAGGGAGGGGAAAAAAGAGGAATAAAGGTATCCATGTATGAGAGAAACATCGATCAGTTGCCTCTCACATGCCCCCAACCAGGGACCTGTTCTACAATCCAGGCATGTACCCTGACCAGTAATCAAACTGCTGACCTTGCATTTCATGGGCCAATGCCCAACCAACTGAGCCACACCAGTCAGGGATGTGATTTTACCCTTTTCAAACCCAGTCATGGTTATATTAATTTTGTTTGCTCTAC